GACACTTCTCTTAATTTTAACTGGCACGCTTCTGTTTAATATTTAACGTTACTTTATAGAAATGGGTTAGTGTCTTCGAAAAAATCAATTAGCATCATTAACCGTTTAGCTACAGAAGAATTAACGTAAGGCTAACGTTATAGCTTGAGCTTTTGTTTATGAATGTTTGGGCTTTTAATCACATTTTATGTGTTGATTAGAGGTTTTGATATTTTTGTAGCCTAAATATTTTGCTTGGAAGTGAGCTAAAAACGTATGTATTTAACATAAAACGTTACGTTTTATTACTGTTAATCGATGACGTCACTTACACGGCTGAAACTAGCTAATGGTTCATAAATATTGATAAAAAGAAAAATTATGTGATTTCAGCAGCAACAAGATAACTGTTGGCTATGTGACAAATGGTTTGTTGTGTTCCTAGATCGTTCCATGCTGATGCCCTGCTCAGTAGCAGAGTTGAACTGACCATCATCTGAACCTGGCAACCGGACACGCAAACACACACGCTCTTTTTTGATAATGAAAATAAAATTATTTTGTTTCCTAATATTCCTTGTTGTGTGTTTGTTCCTTGGGTAGTTAATATGTTAAAAATACTTCTAGTGAACGTTAAAGTTCAATATAGAAGTCTGAAAAGTCCCCGAATGTTTGCTGAACGTCCCGCAAACGTCTCCCGCGACGTCATGTGAACGTCCCGCGAACGTCCCCCGCGACGTCCTGTGAACGTCCCGCAAACGTCCCCTGCGACGTCCTGAGAACGTTTAAAGAACCCTACACGAAGACGTTCAGGGGACGTTCGCAGTGGACGTTCAGGGGACGTCCTGGGGACGTGTTTTTGTTAGCTGGGATGGCGCCGAAGAAACAGACTCGTTTAGGCTAATAAATTATGCGGTTGTTCCAATACTTAAAAATGTGCAAATTGTTTGTTTTATAAGTTATAGCAAATCGCATTAAATCAGTTCGCTTTCGACATCTTCTGAAAAGAAAAATGTCCACACCACGCCCTTCTGCCCAGAATACCTACACGTTTTCTCTCTCTTAAAAAAAAAAAGAATAGAAAAAAATTGAATTTGCTGTAATTCATATTATTTATGGGATTTGTTCATTTACAGTGTGCTACCATAACCAATAAAGTGAGCTTTAATATATGAATTGAATTTTGAACACCATAAGGAAGAATGTTAGAGTCTGATCTGTAAAACTGATGTTTCTGCTCTAGGTGTGTCTGGTGCAGAGATGGTGACCGTGATGGAGGGAGATTCTGTCACTCTACACACCAATCTTTCTGAAATACTGAACGATGATACGATACTGTGGCTGTTTGCATCTAAAGACTCTCTCATATCTCAAATAACGAGAAAGGAAGGCTTGAACTCAATTTATTTCACAGATGATGAGAGATTCAGACACAGATTGCAGGTGGACCAAAACACTGGATCTCTCACAGTCAGAAACATCAGAATCAGACACTCGGGACAATATAAACTCTCCATCTCTAGAGAAATAAATACCATAAAGATATTTCACGTTACTGTCTTAGGTGAGTGAGGCTATCTCAAGTCTTTCAAAGATCTGGCATGTTAGCACTGTCTGTCTATTAATTAGTATCTTATTTATAATAAACCAAACAAGAGACATCAAATATGTGACATGTAGCGTATTATAAAACATGGTTTCGCTTTGTTTTAAGATGATGATGTTATATTGTTACTCATGAATATGCTACAAATATTAATTAGCTACATGTACTTACTTTATAGTTTGGTTTAGGGTTTAGTTAATTGCAATTTTGCACAATTTTCTGTTATTACTATTGTAACCACAGGCATAAATGATGTGTAACCACCTCACCTTAAGATAAAGTGTTTCCTAAAACATTTTTAAGAGTGAGCCACTAATTTTTACTCGCATGAAATTACTTAGTTTATAAGGTCTATATTTATGCACACATATTATATGGGAATCAGTAAACTCAAACTGAGACGGTAATATGATGCGTCACACGACAGTGTCAACAACTCAATGATTCTGATTAACATTTCTCTTCAACAATTAAATAAAAATATCAAATAAATATCTGAAATGATGGCTATATATAAATGACATTTACAATGAATCTAAATGTTCTAGATACAGAGTAAATGATTTCTAAGTTTAGTCTCTTGCTGAGAAACTGTTTCTGCTTGTTTTCAGGTGTGGCTAATAGGACGGATGAAGTGAAGTCCATTTCAGTGAAGGAGGGAAAGTCTGTCTCTCTAAACATTTATACTGATATACGCCCAGATGATCTGATCTTGTGGAGGTTTGGAGATCAAGGCATCCTGCTGGCTAAAATTGATGTAGAAACGAATGAGACCTCATTAAACGATGATGATGAGAGATTCAGAGACCGACTGAAGATAGATCATCAGACTGGATCTCTGACCATCACAAACACCAGAACCGAACACGCTGGACTTTATGAACTTCAGATCAGAGGCAGTGAGAGCTCAAAGAGATTCCTTCTTTCTGTCAACGGTGAGTCTTTATTACTCATTCAATGCATTGATATGCAGGATTATTAAATCAGATGCTTGGATTAAAATTAGTCTCTTGGACACAGTGTTTGTGTTCTTGTCATGTTGATGAAGTTAATTTCTGTGGTTACACAAGAGGGTGTATATATATATATATATATATATATATATATATATATAAATAAATGGTATGTTAGATTTGCTGTCCTATTCAATACACTAACTTTTATATTATATCATATTATATCGAACACCTGTAAAACTCTAACTATTGTAAAACTATTTGAACATGATGAAATACTCCACAGTTTAATATATACACTCTAAAAAATACTGGGTTGTTTCAAATCAAATTTGGGTCAAATATGGACAAACCCAAATGTTGGGTTAAAAATGCAATTTAAAAAAAATAAAATACAGTTCAAATATTTGATTCTCCTTCATCTTCGTCAAACCGTGACAATAATAATCAGAAATGTTTCTTGAGCATCAAATCAGCATATTAGTCTGAAGGATCATGTGACACTGAAGACAGTAATGAATGATGCTGAACATTAATAGAATAAATTACATTTTAAAATATAGTCAAATAGAAAACATTTTAAATTGTAATAATATTTCAGAAAACGTTTCTGTATTGTTGATCAAATAAATTCAGCTGGTGAGCAGAATGGACTTTTTCAAAAACATCTACAGACCACACACTTTTGAACGGTAGTTTATGTCAGAAAATCATCCTTTAGGGAAATGCCTTCTTATAATAACATAATGAATTATCTTCAACTTCTAACTGAATGCGATTAAAATGAATGTCTGTCTCTCTTCAGCTGGTGCAGCTCTGGCTCTGTCTCCGGGTGGAATAGTAGGAATAACGTTTGCTGTTCTGCTGGTTCTGGTTGTAATCGTGATTTACTTTCGGTGGAAGATCTCTAAACTTCAAGAACAAGTGTGTAAGTATTACAATTTATACAAGCTAGAGCTTTGTTTATGCTATAGTAGCGTTTAAATGTGTAATATGATGTTTTGAATGGTTTCTGATTGATCATATACTGCAATAATTAATGAACATTTGTGATTATATTAGAGGAAATGTACAGTCAGCTTTACAATAGCTTCTCATATTAAGATCGAACACTATAATGGGGTGAATTAATTAATTTGCCATACAAATATCCTTTAAGCATCTTTGTACAGTTCATATTTAATTGAAACATTTTATAACATCATTTCTGCAATTGTAATTTCTGTATAAAAGCATTTATGACACCTATGCAGCAGAACTCATGATTTCTGTTGTCCATTTCTGTGTTGCTGTGATAGTGTCCGAGAACAAGAAAGTGGAGGAGGGAGAATCTCTCTGTTTGCCCACTGGTGTTCCTGAACTACACAAAGATTACTGTATGCAGTGGTATTATAAAGATCAAAGTAAAGACATTCTCATAGCTGAAATCAATAACGAGACCCATAAATATAATGTTGTTGATGAGAGATTCAAGAACAAACTGACACTGAATCCTAAGACCGGAGATCTCACCATCAATAACATCAAAATCCTTCACGCTGGACTCTATAGACTCAAGTTCAAGAGCAAAATGAGAACCAAACACAACAGTTTCATGGTTATGGTGACTGGTGAGTGAGCACAATTACACTTGCAGAGGGTGGGAGCATGTGAAACCCGGGAAACGGTTCTAATCTAGCGGACCAATCACAGCGCTGATGATAAATAAATAAAAAGTTGAGTCAAATTAATGACCTGAGGACAGGATGAGTGTAATATTGCATGAATAATGTAGAAAAATAGGATGATCATGAATTACATATAGCCAAATCACATATATTACATATATTTTTATGGCAATAAATCCATCATGTCATGGCTTAAATGTGTAATTACTATATTATATTTTACTTCATGATTTGTGAATGTAGGTAATATAATCCAGTAGAGATTAGTTGACTATCTCCAAACATGCCAGAATAGGTTAAAGACTCATCTAAATGTATCTGATGTAGAAACTTCAAACGAAATTCATTCACACTTTTTTTTCTTCTGCAATTCTCTGTTTCTGTGTGCCGCTGTGACATGAAGCCAACACGAAATTAGAGGCTGAGGGAAATAATGTCCCTCTCATGACTGGTGTTACTACTATCAAGCCAGGTGATCTGATACTGTGGACGTTTGGACTCAAAAACTGCCTCATTGCTACAGTTGAATCAAGTACATCTTATATTGTTGAGAGATTCAGAGAACGACTGGAGCTGGATCCTCAGACTGGATCTCTGACCATCACAAACATCTCAAACACAGAATATGGACACTATAAACTACAGATCATCAACAAAGAACAGACCACATTCAGGAGATTCATTGTGCTCGAGCCTGGTGAGTAAACAACATGTATTATAACAACTATATTTAATTTTGCAGCAGTTCCAGTCCTTTTATTTTTAAAAAGTTCTTCTTATAAAAGGATAATTTGTTTTGGATCCCACTTAATCCAGTGAGTGGATTTTTATACAGATCAGATAAATTCATACACTTATTCTTATTGTACATTGTATGATAAGTATAACTATATTAATACGTTTGTCAAGAGCAAATTTAATGTTGGCTTGAGAAGTGTTAAATGCATGAAATTTGGCTTTCTCGAGCCAACATAATAATTTCTTCAGTGTCTGTTCTAAAGAAGGGAAATGTACAGTCAGCGGTGAAATGTACAGTCAATTCATTCACACTTCTTTCTTCTACAAATCTCTTTTTCTGTGTGCCGCTGTGACATGAAGCTGAGCCAAAATCTGAGGCTAAGGGAAACAATGTCCTCCTCAAGACTGGTGTTACTACTATCAAGCCAGGTGATCTGATATTGTGGATGTTTGGAGCCAAAAACTTTTTCATTGCTAGAGCTGATTCAAATAAAACTGCTATTTCTGAGAGATTCAAAGACAGAGTGCAGCTGGATCCTCAGACTGGATCTCTGACCATCACAAACATCTCAAACAGAGAATACGGACACTATAAAGTACAGATCATCAACGAAGAAAAGACCACATTCAGGAGATTCAATGTGTTCGACCCTGGTGAGTAGAACATTCATTATAAAAAACTATATATATTTTTTTTCAGCAGTTCCAGTCCTTGAATCTTGTTGTGGCAAAAATCTATCTTACATCATCACTGCGTAAGAGACACTCGAGTTCAATTAATAAAAAAATAAGTATTTATTCTTGCAAGAATAGGTTCAGTCTAGTATACAGAAGTTACGCTGTGCAAGAGAATGACACACAACAGGAAGATATAAGTCTCCTCTTCACCCGCTGTATCTTTCACCCACCCAGATAAGGTCCTCACTGCTGTTTAATCTCTACTCTCTACTTAAAGACACAAACTAGTACTGAAATAAACTGGCCACACATTGAATAGGTTGTCTCTCTTATGAAATCTGTCAGGGATCAACGTCTATTAAAATTTCTACAACAGTCGAACAGAGTTCCAAGAGTTTCCGGTTATGTGATTGTTTTTTTTATTTTAAGATTTTAAAAAAGTTCAAATAAAAGGATTTTTTTTTATAACATAAAACAAAAACTTGCAAAAAAAAAAGTGTAAGACACATTTTCAGACTTTTAGATCCCACTTAATCCAGTGAGAGGATTTTTATACAGGTCAGAGACAATCATAGACTGTGATTTATAGTTTCTTATTGTACATTTACAACCCGAATTCCGGAAAAGTTGGGACATTTTTTAAATTTGAATAAAATTAAAACTATACGACTTTCAGATCACATGAGCAAATTTTATTCACAATAGAACATGGATAATATAACAAATGTTTAAACTGAGAAATTTTACACTTTAATCCACTAAATGAGCTCATTTCAAATTTGATGCCTGCTACAGGTCTCAAAATAGTTGGGACGGGGGCAACAAATGGTTGAAAAAGCAATAAATTTAGAAAGGATTCAGGTGGGAGAACATCTATAGCAACTAAGTAAGTTAATTGATATCAGGTCTGTAACATGATTAGCTATAAAAGGGATGTCTTAGAGAGGTAGAGTCTCTCAGAAGTAAAGATGGGCAGAGGCTCTCCAATCTGTGAAAGAGTGCGTAAAAAGATTGTGGAACACTTTAAAAACAATGTTCCTCAACATCAAATTGCAAAGGCTCTGCAAATCTCATCATCTACAGTGCACAACATCATCAAAAGATTCAGAGAAACTGGAGAAATCTCTGTGCGTAAGGGACAAGGGCGAAGACCTTTATTGGATGCCCGTGGTCTTCGGGCCCTCAGACGACACTGCATCACTCATCGGCATGATTGTGTGAATGACATTACTAAATGGGCCCAGGAATACTTCCAGAAACCACTGTCGGTAAACACAATCCGCCGTGCCATCTCCAGATGCCAACTAAAGCTCTATCATGCAAAAAGGAAGCCATATGTGAACATGGTCCAGAAGCGCCGTCGTGTCCTGTGGGCCAAGGCTCATTTAAAATGGACTATTTCAAAGTGGAAAAGTATTCTGTGGTCAGACGAGTCCAAATTTGACATTCTTGTTGGAAATCACGGACGCCGTGTCCTCCGGACAAAAGAAGAGGGAGACCTTCCATCGTGTTATCAGTGTTCAGTTCAAAAGCCAGCATCTCTGATGGTATGGGGGTGCATAAGTGCATACGGTATGGGCAGCTTGCATGTTTTGGAAGGCACTATGAATGCTGAAAGCTATATAAAGGTTTTAGAGCAACATATGCTCCCCTCCAGACAACGTCTATTTCAGGGAAGGCCTTGTGTTTTTCAACAGGACAATGCAAAACCACATACTGCAGCTATTACAACAGCATGGCTTCGTCGTAGAAGAGTCTGGGTTCTGAATTGGCCTGCCTGCAGTCCAGATCTTTCACCTATAGAGAATATTTGGCGCATCATTAAACGAAAAATGCGTCAAAGGCGACCACGAACACTTCAGCAGCTGGAAACCTATATAAGGCAAGAATGGGACCAAATTCCAACACCAAAACTCCAGACACTCATAAACTCGATGCCCAGACGTCTTCATACTGTTTTGAAAAGAAGAGGAGATGTTACACCATGGTAAACGTGCCCCCGTCCCAACTATTTTGAGACCTGTAGCAGGCATCAAATTTGAAATGAGCTCATTTAGTGGATAAAAGTGTACAATTTCTCAGTTTAAACATTTGTTATATTATCCATGTTCTATTGTGAATAAAATATTGGCTCATGTGATTTGAAAGTCGTATAGTTTTCATTTTATTCAAATTTAAAAAACGTCCCAACTTTTCCGGAATTCGGGTTGTAAAAAAAAATAACAAGCATAACAATATTATTGATGTTGGCTTGAGAAGTGTTAAATGCTTGAAATTTGGCTTTCTCGAGCCAACATGGTAATTTCTTCAGTGTCTGTTCTAAATAAGGGAAATGTCCAGTCAGCTGCTAATTATAACTAATAAAGCCCAACAGGAGCAGATCTGTCAGTCTTTAAAGGGGTGGTTTACTGCTTTTTTCTTTGTATTCTATTTGTATTCTTTGTATTTCTTTTATGTATAAGACTTTTTTAAAAAGTATTATTTTTCATAAATTTCACCTTTATTGTAAACAGCTTTCTCTTCTGTCATTTGAACGAGGTTGACTTCCTGAGTCTATGAAACCACTCTCTCAGAAACAGGCAGTGGGCTCAGATTGGTTAGTTTGGGCCGGTGTGTTGTGATTGGCTAAACTGTGTAGTGCACGTTGTACGGATACTCCACGCCCATTACCTTTGCGTGTTAATGTGTTCATGTCAAATGTACATAATGGTGTCGAACTGTGTATCAGCATGAGGCAGAATCAGACCCAGAAAGCGGCGATGAAGAGTCAAGCAAAATCTCACCACACACACAGTTACAAAAAGTTTCTGATATTTTGCCTATATTTTTTTTAAACTTTAAACACGTTTGTTTTACACAAAATAGCATCGAACTGACTGGCTATTATACACAAACAGCATTGGCACTAGTTTACGTTCTTGATGAAATCGAAAATAACGTCATAAAGTATACATAAATGAAAAATACATGTACAAAATTAGTACATATACAAATTCAGGTCCAAAATGTTTGTACGTGTTTGTTGTAGACAGAAAATAGCATAAATAAGTGGCTATAAAGCCAGCGCTGGCATTTGGTAAAACTAAAACATTAAGTCTGAAATTATACATGCAAATAAATTTAAAAGTCTAACTTACAGGTTGTGGCCCAAAAACTGCTGCCTCTTACTAACATGTTTTAGTAACAGTTTCTTGTTGAATCCGGCATTGAATTCCTGGAGATTCTGGAAGCTGTCTCCCGTAAAATGCGCAGAGAGCTAAATTGCGATTAAATTACGATTGTAATTTCCAGGAACATAATCAAACATAAATTGTATCCATTGTTGACGAACTGCAACGACCGTGGGAAGCCCGAACACAGAAGACCTGACCGCTGGATGAAAATAACACACTTTTGACGAGCCACAGAAATATGGTCTTGCCCTTTTCTGCATATTCCGGAGGGAGGGGTTGATGCAAACGTATGGGTTAGTGACGTATAAAACCCACTGTATTCCCATTCGAGTCGTTTTTGTAGGCAATATACTTCCTGATTTTTAAAAGACCTTTGAACTTTCAGCGCACCAACAGCAACATTACACACTATTTAAAATCAAAAAAGTCAAATCGCAATCAACCCCCCCTTTAAAATGGGCAAAACTTCTGAAGCCAACATGAAGTCTCAGTATCTACTCTATTACTTTTGTTCAAGGTTTTTGAGGAAAAACATCTGTAGCAATTCATGTTGTAGAAGTATGATCTGAGTTCTCAGAGAGCTGGTTTTACAGCACGAGTCTGTGTTCTTCTTTAATCTTGTACAGCTGTAACATCTTATGTAACACTGTTTATTTCTTTCTGTATTTTCAGATCCAGAAACCCAAGGAGATGAAAATACAGCTTTAATGAGTCGCAAGAATGATTTACTCATGCTGCAGGACATAAGTTAATGAGATAAGACACACCCACCCATGCTTTTCAGTGACGTCACAAAACAATTGATGCATAATAGGCAACAGAACAGAGAACATTGATCTGTTGATAATTAGCTGTGCAAGGCAATTCTATAATGAAGTGTATTACTGAATATAAGATCACATATATTTTGATATATCTGTAAATATATTATCAGATATCTTCCATTATATAAAGAGCATCAATTCCTTATGTATTATTCAATATATTGTACTATAACACAATGTATTATTCTGTATTATATGTGTTCTTCTCGTAAGGGTTACAACAGCAGTGTTTCTGTATCAAGATCATTTTTGATGTTAAGCTTTGTTTCTGAAAGCCAAAATATTACCCTTTCGCTAAAGTGGACAGCTATTTAAGCATTTTCTTGAATGTGCAAGGGTTTTGATGGCAAAGTTGCACATAAATCTGTTCATTGGACCCTGGTGTATCATTCTATGCATTGCAACCAAGTCGTAAGGCATTGTGTTTTTATGTTTTCCCCCTTCAAATCAAGATGGCCAGTGGTCAAAAAAAAAAAAAGTATTGCAGCATCAAGCAGTATCTAATGTGTCATATGATATCACAGTACAATTTTCCACAATTTTTTGATTTTAGATTGGGAGAAAAATCTGATTAATCATCTGTCCACTATAGTGGACCTCATGCATCAATGGCTATATTTTAGCTACAATTCATACTTATATTGTGAATAGTTTTTTTTTTTTACTTAATCTGCACTTTTAAATAAATGCATTTGTATTTTTAGAATGTAATTTTCATTGACATCTAAAAAAGTTATGTAATTACTTTTTTGGATGAAATGAGTAATGCATTACGAGTCACAAATAATGTAATCTAATTATGTATTGCATTACTTCTTAGATCAACAAAAGTATTTGTTTACATAATCAATGTTGCTTGTAATGTGTTGCATTTAATATACTTAATCTGCAATGTTACAACTCAGTGTGCAGGGAAGTTGACTTTTTTTTAAATAAATGCATTTGTATTTTTAGAATGTAATTTTCATTGACATCTAAAAAAGTGATCAATTTTTTTTAATGAAATGAGTAATGCATTATGAGTCACAAATTATGTAATCTAACTGCGTAATGTATTACTTCTTAGATCAAAATTCTTAGATTACTTCTTAGATCTGTTTACATAATGAATGTTGCTTGTAATGTGTTTTACGCCTAACATTAAAACGTAATCTGATTACGTAATGCACGTTATTGTAATGCGTTTCTTTACTCGTAACCTCGAAATGTAATCTGATTACATAATCTGATTTCTTGTAATTAATTACTTGTTAGATCAAAAAGTAATCTGATGCATGGTAATGCATGTTACTTCTAATACATTACAGTACTCATAATACATTAAAACAAATCTGATTATGTAATGAAAGTTACTTCTAACACATTTACTTGTAACATCAAACAAGTAATCTGAATGCGTTATGCCTGCCGCAACACTGCTCATTTCAGATGAGATCGAAAAAACGTATCGCTAGGTTTTTTCAGAAGAGAGCTATGCTAGAAATATGTACATCTCTAACATAATCATAATTATGGCTGTGCCCTGGATTTATTCTGATGAAGAATCTGTAAACAAAAACATAAAGCATTACCCTATCCAAGGGGGAAAAACTGTTGTAAGAATCTTATCCATATAGAGGGATTTGCTGCTGCATGGGAGTGTAGCCTTTACAGAATTTTGGTGAGCACATTAATGGAAGTTTTGAGTAATTTTTAAGTCAAGTACTCTAAAAACCAAGTACTTTACTATTAAAGAAAATAAAACGTGCATGAAATTTAGACTTTAGACTTGGGCTGTGCAATTAATTGAATTTCAGTTTTGATATTGGCTCCCGACTAACATCAAAATACAATCGAGTAAAAATGATTATTTTGCCATGTTCTGTTTTACAAGAAGACTCTTATTTTGTTTTGTGTTCTGAATGACATCCGCCCCTCACGAAAGTCTTTCTGCCATAAACTCTCTCAGCTTGAATGTTTAAACTGATAAGACTTAAAATAAGTGAAAATTATCAATAATTAAAATGAAATACATGTATACAGACATATACAGAAAGAGAGAAAAGGTAACATGAAAGAGATTAATAAAGTTACATAGTTATATACTTTATATATTAATAAAGTAATAAAGAAGTTTTTTTTTCATTGAAGCCACAAACAAACACAGAGGTTGATGGATGTATTCATGTTCTCATCCTCAGATAAGGATCTGGCTGAACTGTCTGATATAGACCATTTTACGAGATGTAAACAACACTGGTCCAGAAGCACTTCCTGTTTCAGTTTGTAAATGGTTTCTTAATTTCAAATGTAAAGAAAATATCTTAAAGATGTTTGTTTAACTTTTTGATTCAGTTGTAAATGTTCTGTTGGTTGTACTTTATCCCAACGTTTATATAGTGTTAAAAAAATGAATCAGGAAGTGCTTCTGGACCAGTGTTGTTTACATCTCGCGAAATGGTCCATGTCATTTTTAATGTACATTGTAAAACAGCATTATCATCTGAGAAATATGTCTAAACTGCAACATATGCTCTCAGTGTCAAATGCTGTCAAGTTCATGACCTCAAGACTAGATTAGGCTATTGTAATGCAGGTTTATTGGTATGTTTGTCATATGGATATTGGTCTTCATTTAGGTTTTTTTGTGTGTATCTGTGTTGTGTTTTAGGATGTTTTTAAGCATACTTCCTACGGGTACATACGCAACAACGATAGTTATAACAGAAGTTTTTCCCTTTTTTTACCATTGACAAAACGATCTGCGAAAACGACTGTAAAAAGCTGTGCTGTCAGGCCATAGAGAGCCTAAGTCCCACCCCTCCGCTTTCGGCTCATGGGACCTTATTTCGGAAAAAATATGAATGGTAGTCAATGGCGAGAGACAACTTATCTTTTTATTCTGTCTGAACTGTGCCCTGAATTACACATATGATGCTTGTCAAATTAAAAGATAATTCTGAAAGTCAAAAACGTCACCGTTTGTCATAAAACAGAAGAGTAACATTTAGTTTTATGTGAAAATCGCTCAATGAACTACATCTCCCTGGAAGCGAAACAACGAGTAAGATCTGCTGCTCGTGTGTGTGCAGTCTGGTACAAAACACTCAGGCATGACGACGTAACGTTACGATTATAACGTAAGACTATAGAAACAATGACAGACGTTAGCCTCAGTAAAGTTAGCTTCATTCATTGAGAGAAAATGTGAGCCTTTGGGATTTGTAGTCTTTGTAATTACGTATTTTCACAGTCTTATACCTCAACGGTTTCACATCAAACTGCGACTTTCTTGACTTTAAAATGTATCTTTTTAAATTGACAAACGTGCAATTCAGGGCACAATTGACTACCATACAATATTTTTCCATAATAAGGTCCCATGGTGGTCGACCGGAAGGGGAGGGACTTAGGCTCTCTATTAGATGGCGATGGAACCCATAGACATATACACTCCCTTGGGGTTCTAAGCATGCGTCAAAACCGCCGCCATCTTGGAACAGGGGTCCTGTCATAGGAAGTAGCTAGGTGACGCTGCTATCTCTGCCTTTACTTCGAATTCATTGATGGTGGCGGACTTTTGTGCAGCGTATGATGTTCACGGATGAAATCTGAACTAGGAAGAATGTTTAAAAAAAAAAAAATTTCTTTCATGAATCAATGGTAAATACATGTCTGACCATTGGAACAAACCAAAAAAAACAAGAAAAATCGCATTCATGATGATTTATGGTGACTTTATTTCCGTTAGACCTGTGTCCACTACATTGACGCTGATGCATTAAAGTGGAGGGGCTCCCCTGTTTCAAGATGGCGGCTCTATTGACGCATTCGTTCCAATGACCTCCCGTAGCCAAGGTGAGGTCTAGTGTATATGTCTATGGATGGAACCAAGGGGGTAATCCATCAGCCGGAAGCTGAAGCTGCCTCCGGGGGCCGCCATTGTAGCGTACTATCACCTTTTTGGCGTCACTTTGACAGCGAATAACTTTACATCTGAGGCGTCCAAAGACTCCATTTATCCATTATTTACTGGTTTCCACAGTCCTTTTTTTGTTGTGAAGAACGTTTAAAAAAATTTGCACTTTGATGCCCGTATTAAAAGTTTAGGTTTTCAGGCACCACCCAATACGCCTTTGTCGTGAAAATGAACGGCCAAAACACATTTAAAGTTTTACGTTTTAGTTGAAGGGTGATTCTCTTAGATGGGTGCCTTTTGGGTCATACGTTTTTTTGTTGTTGTTTTTTTACCTCAAAATAGTTATATTTCCGATCATTTCATGCGATAGTGGATTAATCAAATCTTTAAGGAAATGCATTTTCCCACCTCAGGCATGAAATTCTGAATGATATTGAGAGTTTTTTCTTACTGAAAGTTGTTTTGAAGTTCAACCCCGTGACAGACCACTTGGACCCTGCTTAAATATGATTTAAAATGATTTTCAAGTAAATTCTTTTAGAAGCTTATCAATGAGATGTCCCTTGTTTGATTTCATTTATTGCATGTAGAAATGTATTTTTAGATACTCACCATTTGATTACCAAATCAGCTCATGAAAACTTTATCTAACATTGGTCTTCATATCTTATCACAAAATATGCATTAATATCAGGATTTAATCAGGCTTTCGTATTTTTTCCGACTGCCTGGTAAATTCTACACACAGCAAAACAAATATTGACCCTAATTTGTCTTCTTATCACGAAAATATTTATTAAAGACTATCAAATAACAGGGTTGAACTCACCATAACGGGGTTGAAAATAATAACAGGGTTGAAGCAAGGTTATTATAGTTTTGCATTTTTCATTAGTTTTTATTTTTATTTAGTTTTGAATTTTTATTTTCAAATTCAGTTTAGTTTTAATTAGTTTTAAAATATAATTATTTATATATATATATATATATATATATATATATATATATATATTAGGCCTAGTTAAAGTACACAATCATATGATTATATTAGCAGCAACATTTTGATATTAATTGCACTTTTTATTTGTTTGATATTCAATGAAAATGTAATGATGGTTAGTGAGGACATGCAAAAATGCTTGTTGTCTACTATTTAGGCAACCCATTATCTTAAAAAAAAAAATTAAACCAATTGTGTTGCATTATTATGCAAAGGCGCCTGGTTATATTAATTGACAGCATTAAAATGCATTTTGTGATTTCCTTCAATTGAAAATCTTTGAAGCAAGTTTGGGGCACTTGAAGGGCACCCAATTCAGAGAATCACCCGACTACAAAATGTCATGCCTTTTAAAAATACAAAAAACAACAGGATGCGGGTTTATGCCGTCTCTCGGTCTCCTTTCTGGCGCACGTTCCACAAAATCAACAACAACGAATTATCTACTTGACGCACAGATATAAGAAATTCAGATAGATTTTCTATCTATAGACAACTTTAAGTGTCTACTTTGTATTATTTGATGTTAAATGCATTATATAAGTTACTTAGGAATAGCCTAAATAGCATGTTTTCAGATCATAAAGAAAACGACTTATAGCAGGGAAAAACCGTTAGGCTGTTATGACCACTGCTATAGACTAACTGTCTTGGCTTCCATTAAATATATTGTTATAGGCCTACGCCTGCACATTGAGAAAATTGAGAGATCAAAAGAGCGCAACAATTGTCTATTGTTGTCACACACTGCTACCTTATAGGGTAAACACGACTTCTCGAAAAGAGCCCTACCTCCCTCCCCATCTTCAGTTGCCTAGTCTAAATTACCTAAAGAAGTTACTGCAGCGGCACACGTAGCCTACTTGTGCTCGTCCCTAAATTTCTCTCATACAGTCCTAATCGTCATTAATATAGGAAGGCTACCGTGGAAATATAGAAAATCGCAATTCACAGTTGCAAAACTTCTCTCTGTGGACTTTTACATTCATCATATCAGTCGGCTGTTCGGTTCTGAAACACAAGGGGAGATTGCGGGACGAATTACTATTAAGCTCCATCATCTTTATTAAGTTTCTACGCAGCTGTAACGTGTTGAACATGTTATTGCTCTTTCTATTGTTTTTTTTCATGGACGGTAAGTAATGGATTTCCGTTTATCTTTCGGTTTCACTTGACACCGGCATGTGTTGACGTGAAATTGCGCCGAAGAAACAAACATGTAATAAATAATGAGGCAAATGTGCTTGTTCCAACACTTTAAATGTGCCAATGTGGTTGTTTGTATTTTTTGTCAAATCGCATCAAATCAGTTGCCTTCGACATCTTCTGCAAAGAAAACTTTCACACCACGCCCTTCTACCCAGCACAGTTTGTCTATAAAAAAAGTGCATTTGCGGTAATTATTTTTTTAGCCATATTATTTAGCCTATGGAATTTGTTCATTTACAGGGTCTAGCCAATTCGACCATAACCAGTAAAATTGGCTTTTATATTTGAATTGTATTTTGTGTAGCGGCCCCTTGGATTTACTGATCAAGACACAGAGAGTTTCAAACGGGTGTCGATTTATTTATAGCTCTCAACGTGCACCATGAACACCGTGAAAACTACAGAATAAACAGAAGAAGTACAAAATGCTTCAATGTAGTTTCACAAATAATTGCACATAAATAATGTTCACATATCATGTTTACACACAATGCAAATCATTTTTTAACTAACAACCAATATTACTATGAAATGTTTTAAGCCTTTATGACAAAAATATCACATGCTTTTACATGAAATACAATATGGTTGCTCACAGAGATGATATTGTTTGTATATTGACCATAAACAAATGAAGTAGTAAGATTTCTTTTCCTTAAAATCCCTTCTAATGACAATAAACTAGACACACTTTCATACCTCATTCCGCTATCCAAGGACGCTATTCAAATAGTTTCCACCATCAGCTATAGTGCTCTCTTGACACTCTCACAGTTCGTAGGTCTTAGAAATAACACGTCCAAACAATACAAAATAATAAAATCACAATGTGAACTCTTTCTTTACAAGAATCAAAAGGATGAACATGAAAAATAACTACATGTTTAACAGTTTTACCGTTCTTCCGACGACACGTGAGCATCACATTATGAGGAGAGAGTGGCAGGAAGTTTTTGCGTCACAAACACATTAGAAGAAGAAAATGCGCCTTTTTCAAAATAAAAGCCATACAGACAAAGTGACACCGTAGAACTATAAATATAATAATAATATAATATAAAATATTTATATAAATGTAATACTATGTAAGATAATATTAAAGTGATTTATCAGACATTTACATTTTGAACTCCTTTCCTAGCATAAGGAAGAATGCATGTTAGAGTCTGATCTGTAAAAATGATGTTTCTGCTCTAGGTGTGTCTGCAGAGACGGAGACCGTGATGGAGGGAGATTCTGTTACTCTACACACCAATCTTTCTGAAATACTGAACGATGATACGATACTGTGGCTGTTTGGACCTAAAGAATCTCTCATATCTCAAATAACGAGAAAGGGTGACTTGAACTCAATTTATTTCACAGATGATGAGAAATTCAGACACAGATTACAGGTGGACCAAAACACTGGATCTCTCACCGTCAGAAACATCAGAATCAGACACTCGGGACAATATAAACTCTCCATCTCTAGAGAAATGATTACCATAAAGATATTTCATGTTACTGTCTTTGGTGAGTAGGCTATCTCAAGTCTTTCAATGTAACAATGATCTGGTTTAGATTGGCACTGTCACTGTATTAATTAGATCATTCTATTATTTATAATAAACCATCTCAGACACCAAAAATGTGACATGTATCGTATTATAAAACATGGTTTCACTTTATTTTAAGGTGACGTTGTTATATTGTTAATAAAATAACAACTGAGTAATATTAATTAACTACATGTAATAGTTTGGTTTAGGGTTTAGTTAATTGTAATTATGCACAATTTACAGTTATTACCATAGTAACCACAAGTAGTAACATGTAACCACATCACCTTCAGATAAAGTGTTTCATAAAACGTTTGTAAGAGTGACCCACTCTATCGGTCTATATTTATGCAGACATATTATATGGGAATCAGTAAACTCAAACTGAGACGGTTATATGATGTTTAAATTTCTGTGTCACACGACAGTGTGATCTGTTATCTGTCAACAACTCAATGTTTATGATTTTATGTAGTAATACGAGTAGAACTAGCCATAGCACAGAAATTAAAAGCTGTCAATATCTGAAATGATGGCTATATATAAATGACATTTACAATGAATTTAAAGTATTCTTTCCAGATACAGAGTAAACGATTTATACGCTTAATCTCTTGCTGTTAAACTTTCTGCTTGTTTCCAGGTGTGGTTAATGAGACGGATGAAGTGAAGTCCGAGTCAGTGATGGAGGGAGAATCTGTCACTCTAAACGCTGATGTTGAAGTACAGAGAGATGATCTGATCGTGTGGAGGTTTGGAGATAGAGGAATTCTCCTGGCTAAAATTGATGTGGAAACTAAAGAGACTTCATTAAACGACGATGATGAGAGATTCAGAGACCGACTGAAGATAGATCATCAGACTGGAACTCTGACCATCAAGAACACCAGAACCGAACACAGTGGACTTTATGAACTTCAGATCAGAGGCCGTGAGAGCTCACAGCGATTCCTTCTTTCTGTCACTGGTGAGTAACTCTAGAGTCTGGAAAGAGTGAGTCTTTCAATGTAATAATGATGACATAAGGTATAATTAGATCAGAAACTTGGACACCAAGAATTCTTTGTTTGATTTACAAATTTAACAGAATTTTAATGATTACAAAACCCCTAAGGAAGTGTAGCAAATACTTCACACTTGTTAATTAGGATGCATGATAAATCATCTGATAAATGTTAAATTTTAATGTTATCGTTATGTGCCTGATGAGAAACTTTTTCTGAAATATTAAAGCCAATAAATGATGTATTATTTCCTTCAGCTGAGACACCTTAGATGTGCACTGGTTGCCATGGTTTTGAATTTTATCATTTAAATCAGATTTATAGCCACACCTTACAGTAAATCTCCTGTAACTCAGGGACAAACACATAGACAGACTTACTCACACAACACATTACAATCTTGAATCATGATAAATTATAATTCACAGCAGTGTATATTTGAAGACATTCCGGGAAATCTCATTGACTGTAATGTTTTTGTTGTGTGAACAATATTCGATTTTTCATCATGATAACTAATTGTTAGAAATTAAGTCTTCTCTCATAATAATGTGATTTATAGAGAGAAATCTACAAACTGAATCTTATTAAAATTCATACTGTGCCAAATTCTTTAGCTGTTTCAGATCCGGGTCTGTCTCCGGGTGCTATTGCAGGAATAACTGTTGCTGTTCTTCTGGTTCTGGTTGTAGTTGTGATTTACCATCTCTACATGATCTCTAAACTAAAAAACCAAGTCGGTGAGTATTATAGCTGATAAAAGCGGTAACACTTTACAATAAGGTTCATTAGTTAACATTAGTTAACTACATTAGTTAACATGTTCAATATGTGAACAATACTCCTTCAGCATTTATTAATCTTAGTTAATATTAATTCCAACATTTACTAATATGTTATTAAAATCAAAGGTTGTATTAGTTAACATAGTTAATGGACTGTGAACTAACATGAATGCACAATGAACAGCTGTATTTGTATTAACAAAGATTAATAAACAGTGTAACTAATGCATTGCTCATCGTTAGTTTATGTTAGTTAATGCATTTACTAATGTTAACTAATGAACCTTATTGTAAAGTGTTACCATAAAAGCTAGACAAGTCTGACCAAAAGTCAGAGCCAGATACATGCACTTAGATCACTCCTGACAGAACATGAAACACTCTACAGGCTTTGCTATGATGGACACACACTATGATTTATTTAGCTTTAAAGTTCGATTCCATCCAGTTGGAGGATATCAACCATGTTTGATATTTTGTGCTGTTTTGTTTCACGCATCTCCTCTCAGTTTGTTATGTTCGTAATGAATTGAAAGTCTGATAATATATGAAGCCTAGTTTTTCCTATTTACCAAATCAGCAAGTGTATGATATCTAGTGTTTAACCCCCATCCTTCCCTCCCAAATTGCAACAAATCCTCCCCTCATAGGTCAAAATGACCCTAAAATAAAAAAATAATATCTTTTTCATTTGGATTTCTTTTTTTCTTTTTTTTTTCTACCTTTAAATCAAAAACTGAATCGAATAATGATAAAAAAAGTAGATTTTATCAATATCAATACATAATATTAAATTCAAAATAACTCACAATTTCATGCATAACTCTTTAAATTTAACACAAAATATCTTACATTGGTTGCCTTTTGCGACCTTTTGTGGGGTAAAAAAAAAAAAAAAAAAATATATATATATATATATATATATATATATATATATATATATATATATATATATATAACATGATATTATGACTCTTGTCACCAGATTGCTGTATAGGTTTATTTGGAGCAAATGAGCTGTATTCGCTGGGTTCTACAGTCAGTTCACTTCAGTATGCATTCAGATGCATGTTTTTGGTAAAGTTTTAGCATTTTTCATTTTTTTTTTTTTTTTTTTCCATTTATACTGAAGCATTCCTCACATTCCATTCAATCCTAAGGAGTTAAATTGGCTTGTGAGAGAAGGATTTGTTACTTTTTTTAAAATGTTAAATTCACAACGAATCCATTCATTTTCATGGTTCAAGTGCGACAAAAGCCCAAGGGAATTGGACCACTCTGATGAACAATAAATAAAAAAATTCAAAAAAATTCAAAAGTGTTTCAGGTCAAATTAATGACCCGAGGACAGGATGAGGGTGTAATATTGCAATAGGAGTGATCATGAATCACATATAGCCAAAGAGTTTTTTGGCAATAAATCCATCATGTCATGGCTTAAACATGAAAACACTACATCATATTTTCCTTCATGATTTTTGAATTTAGGTAATATAATCCTTAGTTTATGATTAGTTTATGGATAACTATGTGCATTTGGCTATCTCCAAACAGGCCAGAATAGGTTAAAGAGTCATCTAAATGCATCTGATCAGAGCCCGTCTAACGGAGAGCCTTGGCACTTCCTATTAGCCCCGTTGTGTATCATCCTGGTTGCAGTTCCATTATAATTCCACTGGAGGTGATCGTGGGCGAGAGCAGAATGAATGGGAGTCTATGGGGCTAAAAGTGTCTTTCTCCTGCTTGTCGTTGAATCAACATAGATTTTATTGTTGATTCTGCAAGTTCAATATAGATTATTGGCCAAAAGTCGAATGAACGAGTACTTATGTCCTTTCGATTTCTTACAGGTTAGGCTGTTGTTGGCCAGAACATGCTAGCATTCTGCTATTGTGTGACGTCATCACATTTTTGAACGGATTTTTAGAACAGATAAGTGAACTTAAAAATGCAATTTTCAGCTGAGTGTATTATCTTAGCCCTCCGTTTTGAATGCACCTTTCAAATTGCTTGACAAAAAATTACACCCTGAGAAAAGCACGAGTGCCCCCACATGGACAGAGACGTGTTACTGCAGCCAGCAGTAGTAGTAAACTGGAAGTAACCAGCCAGTGCCAATTCTCTTCAATTAGACATTCTCTGATCTGATGTAGAAACTACAAAACTAAATTCATTCACACTTTTCCTTCTGCAACTCTCTGTTTCTGTGTCCTGCTGTGACATGAAGCTAAGGAAAAATCAGGGGCTCAGGGAAATGCCCTTCTCGAGACTGGTGTTAAAATAAAGACAGATGATCTGATACTGTGGACGTTTGGACTTGAAAACCATCTCGTTGCTACAGTTGATTCAAGTTCATTTAATATTGATGAGAGTTTCGGAGCCAGATTTATTGACGGAGACAGACTAAAGCTGGATCGTAAGACTGGATCTCTGACCATCAAAAACATCGAACCTAAAGACTATGGACATTATAAACTACAGATCGTCAACAAAAAACAGACCAAATTCAAGAGATTCAATGTGTTCGACCCTGGTGAGTAGAACATTTATTATAACAACTATATTTTATTTTTGCAGGTTCTAGTCATTGCATCTGATTGGTCAAACAGAGTTCCAAGAGCTCCAGATTATCTGATTAGTTTTAAGATTTTTTTTACATTTAAAAAACAAATAAAATAAAAAAGTGAAAGACACATTTTCAATAGTGGTCTCAGACTTTCGGATCCCACTTAATCCAGTGAGTGGATTTAATACAGGTCAGATCAAATCACTGTGATCATAGTTTCTTGTTATTGTACATTATAACAAGATAAACAACATAAAAAAAACTAAAACAAGTATAACTATATAAATAAGTTTGTCAAGACAAACTTTAATGATGGTTTGAGAAGTGTTAAATGCTTGAAATTTAGTCTATTAAATGTCTTCTTTAAGATTGTACAGCTGTAACAACTTATATGTAGATGTACACTCCCCCTAAAGGATTATTATGAACACCATACTAATACTGTGTTTGACCCCCTTTCACCTTGAACTCAGAACTGCTTTAATTCTAGAACTGCTTTAATTCTACGTGGCATTGATTCAACAAGGTGCTGAAAGAATTAGAAATGTTGGCCCATATTGATAGGATAGCATCTTGCAGTTGATGGAGATTTGAGGGATGAACATCCAGGGCACGAAGCTCCCGTTCCACCACATCCCAAAGATGCTCTATTGGGTTGAGATCTGGTGACTGTGGGGGCCATTTTAGTACATTCAACTCAATGTCATGTTCAAGAAACCAATTTGAAATGATTGGAGCTTTGTGACATGGTGCATTATCCTGGATGGGTACATGGTGGCCATAAAGGGATGGACATGGTCAGAAACAATGCTCAGATAGGCCGTGGCATTTAAACAATGCCCAATTGGCACTAAGGGGCCTAAAGTGTGCCAAGAACACATCCCTCTTCTATCAGCTTGAATCAGTCGGCCCATTCTCCTCTGACCTCTAGCATCAACAAGGCATTTTCGCCCACAGGACTGCCGCATACTGGATGTTTTTCCCTTTTCACACCATTCTTTGTAAACCCTAGAAATGGTTGTGCGTGAAAATCCCAGTAACTGAGCAGATTGTAAAATACTCAGACCGGCCCGTCTGGCACCAACAACCATACCACGCTCAAAATTGCTTAAATCACCTTTCTTTCCCATCTGACATTCAGTTTGAAGCTTTTCAAGGAGAATGTCTTGATCAGTACCACACCCCTAAATGCATTGAAGCAACTGCCATGTGATTGGTTGATTAGATAATTGCATTAATGAGAACTTGAACTGGTGTTCCTAATAATCCTTTAGGTGAGTGTATATGTAACACTATTTATTTCTCTTTATATATTTTTTATCAACATCTCTGTCATTTTCGTGGTTTGAGTGCGACAAAAGCATGTTTTGGACCACTCTGATGAACACTCAAAAAAAAAAAAAAAAAAAAAAAAATCAGGTTAAATTAATTAGGGTGTAATATTGCATAAAAAAAATGTAGAAAATAGGAGTGATCATGAATCGCATATAGCCAAAGAGTTTTTTTGACGATAAATCCATCATGTCATGGCTTAAACATGAAAACACTACATCATATTTTACTTCATGATTTGTGAATTTAGGTCAAATAATCCTGTAGAGATTAGTTTATGGATAAACTAAATAGTTTATGCCTTTTAGCTATCTCCAAACATGCCAGAATAGGTTAAAGAGTCATCTGATGTTGAACCTAAACTAAATTCATTCACACTTTTTCTTCTGCAATTCTCTGTTTCTGTGTGCCGCTGTGACATGAAGCTGAGGAAATATCAGTGGCTGAGGGAAATGATGTCCCTCTCAAGGTGGTGGGTGTTAAAATCAAGCCAGGTGATGTGATACTGTGGACGTTTGGAGCTGAAAACTGTCTTGTTGCTAGAGCCGATTCAGAAACAATTGTTTATAATAATAAGAGATTCGGAGACAGAGTGGAGCTGAATCCTCAGACTGGATCTCTGACCATCAAAGACATAAAAAAAAAAGACTCTGGACATTATAAATTACAGATCTTCAACGCAGAACAGGCCAAATTCAAGAGATTCATTGTGACAGTCGCTGGTGAGTAGAACAACTATATATTTATTTCTGCAGCAGTGCCAGTCCTTGAATCTGATTGGTCGAACAGAGTTCCAGATTATGTGATTAGATTTAAGATTTTTAAAAAGTTCTTCTGATAAAAGGATTTTTATTACATTTTAAAAAACAAATTTAAAAAAGTTAGACACATTTTCACAAATGAAAATGGTCCCTCTTAATCATTTGTAAAAAAAAAAAAAAAAACAAGAAGTTTGTCAAGACAAACTTGAGACAAACTTGTTGTTGGCTTGAGACGTGTTAAAAGCTTGAAGTTTGGGTTTCTCAAGCCAACATAATTATTTCTTCAGTGTCTGTTCTAAATAACAGACTTTACTGCACTTAATCAAATCTGTATGCGACTTGTTTGTGTTGTTTGTCTTATGCAGTGACCTGTATATTGCTTGTGAGGTGACCTTGGGTGTTATGAAAGGCACCATTATATAAAATGCATTATTATTATTATCATTATTATTAATAAATAAGGGAAATGTGCAGTCAGCTGGTAATAGCTAATAAAGCCCAACAGGAGCAGTTCACATTCATATCTGTCAATCTTTAAAATAGCCAAATATTATAAAGCCAAAATGAAGTCTCAGTATCTATGCTACTCTATTACTTCTATGCAAAGTTTTTAAGGACAAACATATGCAGCAATTCATGTTGTAGAAATGTTGTAGGATTTCTCAGAGAGCTGATTTTACAGTACGAGTCTGTTTATGTCTACTTTAAAGGGGGGGTTGACTGCTTTTTTTCTTTGCATGATTGTATTTATGGGGTGCAATATAACATGTATTCGTGGTTTTTCGTTTTTAAAACGTCTTATTTTTCATAAACTTCACCTTTATTGTCAGCCGCGCTCTCTGTCCTCGAACGAGCGGTTGACTTCCTGATTCTATGAAACCACTCCCTCAGAAACACGTAGTGGGCTCAGATTGGTTAGCTTGGCCCGGTGTGTTGTGATTGGCTAAACTGTCGCTTACGTTGTCCGGAAAGTTAACGCCCATTACCTTTACGGGCGAAACGAGCACGTCATGAGCTCAGCTCCGGTCCAGATGTAAATATGAGTCTAACTGCAAAAAAAAAAAAAAAAAAAAAAAATAGCATCTGACTGGCAACAATAGCAACTGACTGGCTACTAATGTCATACTCAAACATCGTTGGCAAGTTTACGTTCTTGATCAAATCGAAAATAACGTCATAAAACATATATACATGAAAAATACATTTACAACATTAGCACTTTTACAAAATTCATGTTTGTACGCGTTTGTCGTAGACACAAAATATCATAACTATAATAGCATACCATAACCCAGCTGTAGTCCCAATCCAGTCGTTTTTGTAGGCAATTATACTTCCTGATTTTTAAAAGACGATATCTCTGCTTACACTGAACTTTCAGCGCTGCAACTTTGCAGATACTGTTCATGCACCAACAGCAACATTACACACTATTTAAAATGAAAAAAGTGAAATCGCAGTCAACCCCCCCTTAAAGATTGTACAGCTGTAACATCTTATATGTAGATGTATATGTGCCAACACTGTTTATTTTTTTTCTTTAAAAAATTGTTATCATCTGTTTGTGCAGGAAAATCAGCTTATGCAAAAACAGCTTCTGTGAAGGAAGAGAGAACGTATAAACCTTCGCATGGGCAAAATCCGCTGATGGAGACTCATGTTAATGAATGAATGATAAGACACACCCAACTGTGCTATTCACAGTGATGTCACAAAACAATTGATACTGTACATAATAGGCAGCCGATGTAGTTTTGGCAGTGCCGGGCTAATGCATGCACAAACGTACGCTCAAAGCTTTCAATCGATTCCAACCTACAGGAGGTGGAGCTGAGACACGAGGAAAGGAAACGAGGATGCAAAAATAAGAATTGAGAAGCACCCAAAGTAAACTGCCTATGGAACAATGTAACCCAGTTCCATGTGACTGCTTTCTGATTATTGTGTTGTTGCATTCCTGATTTTGCTGTCGCGTGTGCATCCCTGGTGAGATACTTATCTACCAGTTCAGTTTATTAAATGAACTTTCTTTTACTTAAACTGCTCTGCCGTACTATTTCAATTTGTATAACTTTGAATTATACATATATTGCTTATCCATATATTGCTTGAACTGTATACAAGGTAAATAGCCTCACTCATACACGACTGCCCTGCTGAAATTGGATAACCTGAAGTATTATAACCTGTAACCTTTTGATATTTTTCTACAAAAGTGAAAAGTGTATCTTTTGTTCAAATAAATGTATTTGATAAAGACAAAATATTGTTCAGTTTTACTTCAGCTTACAAAGACAGTTCTATAAGTAATACGAAGAGCATAGTTTATTCTGCAGAGTCAAGAACAATGAAAAACCCATGAGAGATTCTCCTGGAGTGTAAGCATGAGTTTTATTAAGGGTAATAAATAATGATGATTATTGTTTAACCTAAGTGTAGTCATACACCTAGATTTTCTGGTATAAGATAAACAAGCTAATGAGGGGTTTATCCTAATTCTGACCTGACAGCAAAAGACCATTTGGCTACTTCGACACCAGGGGTTCTTCAGGGCCTGAGAGTAATACCAGACCACACACTGTTAATCATTGGAGTTTCAGACATAATCTGACTGGGGTCAGAATTGGGCTCAACACCTACGTTTTGAGTGGTGCCATATTGCGTCCATGCACTCAACAGATATGACGCGAAATACAAAGGAAGTGATTTGCTGAATTCAGAAAGCACTATAACAAACTCCAAATACACCTGTGTTTTGCGTCGTTTATGGTTGTGGTGTAAATGGATGCACGTTAAACCATAAGGAGTTTTTATCGTGTACTAAAAGTTGTTGTTCATAAGGGGGGAAAATGCAAGAAATAGACCGAAAAATTCTGGAAAAACGGCTTGCAAACCTACGTCTGCAGTCGGGAGGAGCCGAATTGGAAAATGCCTGTGTGTGTAACTGTTAGTGATCACTTCGTCAAAGGTGAGTTAATACAACTTAAGTGGCTATGTTTGTGTAACGTGTAAAGTTTCCTAACTTAAAGTTTGTCTGTAAAACGAGGTAGTTGCTGATATAGATATCTATATCGTATATATATATATATATATATATATATTCGTAGATAGATCTACGAAAATATTTCAATTCTCCTCTTCAAAACCACGTAAGGATCACGTCCAATATATGTTTGATTTTTTGTTTATATTTTTATCTTGTAAAAGCGTGTAAAGTAGTACAGTATATGGATTCCATCTGAATTCCACGCATCATCATAATCACGTGACTGAAACCCATCTATTTGGTGAGCACATTAATGGAAGTGTGAAGATGGGAATTTTGAGTAATTAAGAAGTCAAGTACTCTAAAATTCAAGTACTTCAGAATTAAAGAAAAGAAAATGTGCATGAAATTTAGACTTGGGCTGTGAAATTATTTGAATTTCAGTTTCGATATTGGCTCCCAACTATCATCAAAATAGTAAAAAGAGTAAAAACGATTATTTTGCCATGTTCTGTTTTACAAGAACACTCTTGTTTTGTGTTCTGAATGACACGCACACATCCGCTCCTCTCGAAAGTCTTTATGGCTGAGAGTTTCAGCCATAAACTCTCTCAGCTTGAATGTTTAAACTGATAAGACTTAAAAATAAGTGAAAATTATCAAGAATTAAAATGAAATACATATATACAGACATATACAGAAAGAGAGAGATAAAGTAACATGAAAGAGATTAATAAAACATAAAAGTTTTTGGAAGAATGTTTTAATCAAACAGATCTCATTCCCCATTGACTACTAAATATGGTAGTCAATGGGGAATGAGATCTGTTTGATTAAAACATTCTTTCAAATATCTTCCTTTGTGTTCAGCAGAACAAATAAACACATAGAGGTTTGGAACAACTTGAGGGTGAGTAAATGATGAAAGAATTTTCATTTTGGGGTGAACTATCTCTTTAAGTTGTATGCTCTTCACACTCCAGACCAGCAGGTGGCGAAACGGCACATTGGTTACCATACAACCAGAAACAGAAGAAGAGAGGACGCACGCTCTGAACAACAGCTGATTTCAAAACAAAAGATTTGCAAAGTATTTGAAATTTCACGAATACGTTTTTTTTTTAAACTATCACTATTTATAAGTGAAGAGATGGATTCAGACAAGCAAGAAGAACAGAAACCTGTAAAAATGGAATCTGTTGAAGATTACAGTGAGAACAGGAGTGATCCTGATGAACCCCTCAGAGTGAAGCTTGAGAACACTGAAGAACAGATAGGTTGGTGTTTATTCTCGATTTTTATTAATGATGCTGTGAAACTTTAAAGTTATAAAACTTTAGCAGTTATTTAATGTTAAAACTGCTTTAGTATCAAAAGTACAGGTATTTTAAGTTAATGGCACAGTTGATTGTATCTGAGTGCTGGTTTGCTGGAGTGCTGTTATTTAGCAGTTAAGGGATTGTTCCCCCCAAAAAATAGTTTACTCTCCCTCATCATTAAAAATCAGAATTAATTTATTCTTCTGCAGCACAATAAATATTTTTTTTCTTATTATTCCAAAACAAAACACTGAGACATTAAAAAACATTGTATGATGCTTTGTATAAATAACAGAATTTTTGATATGAACAGCTTTGAATGGTTCAATCTTATTGTTTTATTACAACCGCAATATGATGCACAATACAACAAAATAACAAGCAAACCATTTAGAGAGCAGAAATCATAGAGGTTTGAGGTCTTTTGACAGGTTTTATGCACCCACCCAGAACAACTGCATAACAATCCCTTGCATTTACTTCAGAAAATTAAATAATGTTTGTTTACTATTAAAAGTTTTGAGAGTTGAAGAGTTTTTTCCAGTCTTTGTTTATACTCAAACTTTAACTTGTGGTGTTAATAAGTGTTAAGGCTCATTCACAACATTAGAGAACTTTTTTTTTTCGATGATGATGATGATGATGATTTACTGAAAATTTGAACTTTTTTTACTTTTATGTTAGACCTGACTGTCGAGATTAAGAAGAGTGAAGAACTGGATGAAGCGGAGGAGGAACATTGTGTCAAAACTGATGAAAAATCTTTTGAAAATTGTTGCTCACAGAATGGAAGTAAACTTGTGCTGAGAAGAGCCATCAACAATTTCACTTGCCCGCAGTGTGGAAAAAGCTTCCTATACAAACAAAGTCTTAAAGATCACATGAAAATCCACACTGGAGAGAAGCCGCATGTGAGAGAGTACACATACGATCAGTGCTGGAAGAGTTTCAAACACAAAAATACCCTTAATGACCACATGAAAATCCACACTGGAGAGAAACCACACACATGTGATCAGTGCGGGAAGAGTTTTACATACAAAAGTACCCTTAATATACACATGAAAATCCACACTGGAGAGAAGCCGTACACATGTGATCAGTGCGGGAACCGTTTCACATACAAAAATACACTTAATGACCACATGAAAATCCACACTGGAGAGAAACCACACACATGTGATCAGTGCGGAAAGAGTTTTACATACAAAAATACCCTTAATATACACATGAAAATCCACACTGGAGAGAAGCCGTACACGTGTGATCAGTGCGGGAAGAGTTTCGCACTTAAAGGAACCCTTAATAAACACATGAAAATCCACACCGGAGAGAAGCCACACACATGTGATCAGTGCGGGAAGAGTTTCACACACAAAAATACCCTTAAATGTCACATGACAATCCACACTGGAGAGAAGCCGCACACATGTGATCAATGCGGGAAGAGTTTCAGATTGGCATGTTCTTTGAGAGTACATCTGCGATATCATTCTGGAGTAAAAACATTTAACTGTAATCAGTGCGTTAAAAAATTTGCTCGCGCAGATGTCCTGAAGCAGCACATGAACGTTCATTTAGGGCAGAAGCCTCACGTGTGTTCTTTTTGTGGAAAGGGATTTTCATGGCTGAATGGTTTAAGATCACACCTGATAAGACACAGTGGTGTGAAGAATCATATGTGCTTGCTTTGTGGAAAAGCCTATTTTACAGAGGGTGCAATGAAGCTGCACCAGAAAAGAAGCTGTAAAAAAAAACCTCCTTAAGGATCACGTGAAAATCCACACTAGAGAAAAGCCACACACATGTGATCAGTGCAGGAAGGGTTTCAGAATTGTTCGAGCTTTGAAATTACAAATTACAAGACCAGTTTTGACGCTGTGAGAAATATGGACAAAGCGTCTTTGACGTCACCCATAGACTTCATGAAGAACGGTTTTGAGGCCATTTACGGGGGGGTATGGGCGGCGCCATCTTGGTAATTTTCAATACAAATGTTCAGAAAGGATCAAAGGTGGTATGATGTGTTGTGTCAGATCATGGCCGAGACGTCAATTTCAGGAATTCCACTCGGCGCAGCCCGTTATCAGCTGTCAATCAAAGTTAACCAGGCCCTTAATTGTCACACATTTTATATCTAAATACAATTAAAATAAATTCCCCTTTTGGGACCTGCCTCTAGCGGATTTTCGATGTATTGCAGTTTATCGCACGACGCTTGGTTTTGACCCAGGAAAAACACGAATTTTGACCCCTTAGCAAACAAGCGATTGCGCCTTCTTTAGAAAGTTTGCGGTAAAATGCAGTTTGGTTGTCGAGGTCAAAACACTATATAAGCTGTGAATCAAATAAAAATATAAATAATTTTCTTACACTCTGAACGTTTGGATTTTGTGAAGGTGCATTTAGTATAATAAAGTTCTGATTTTGATGTAGTACGTGTATCTAATTTTACTGTTTTTATTAAGTAAATGGTTCTTCATTCTTTTGTCGTCAAAGCATGATTTATTCACACTATTGTTCAAACATCATAACATATTCAACAAACAGTAAAGACAAAAACAGCATTTTATCTTAATTAGTACGTTAAATATTTTATAGAATTCAAGTTGTCTAGATCCACTGGTCCACAATGTGGTCTTGATCTATATTTGCATAGATTAACCGAGACATAAACAAAGTCTAATATCCAAAAAACATTAACAGTGATGCAACAGTCTGGCATTCAATATTGTTTGGTACTGTTATGATGAACAGTTCAGATGTTTCTCCTAATACACATGACACTGCTGGAGCACCACATAGTAATATGGCGCTTTTCCACTGCATAGTACGGTACGGTTCGGCTCAGTACGCTTCGACTCGGCGCGGAACAGTTCGGATCGCTTTTCGTTTCCACTGCAGTAGTACCCCTTCAAAGTGTGTGGGACTGATCGTTATTTGCGCGTGCCTCTACTGCCATGACATCATCTTAAAAGCGCCACATTTTCAAACCCACAACACAGGAACAATGGAGACTATCGAGGGGATGGTGTTCCTGATTCTCGGTATGTGGTTTTTTTAACTGCTAGATGGAAAAATGTGTTTAAAATGAGGCTGATGGCAGCAAAACAAAAATACTGCTAAAAAAGTGTCTTGTGTCTCGTGTCGCAAATCCAATGACGCTAGTAGTGACGCTGGTAGTGACGATTCTGTCTGACCAATCAGTGATCTGCAGTGTTTCACGTCACATTTTAGTACCGGTACGCTTGGAACCTCAACAGACCAGGTACCATTTAAAGCGACCTGAAGCGAACCGTACTGTACCGTACCATGCAGTGGAAAAGCACCACAAGTGAGCCGTACCGAACCGTACCGTACCATGCAGTGGAAAAGCACCACAAGTGAGCCGTACCGAACCGTACCGTACTATGCAGTGGAAAAGCGCCTATATACTCTCATTGAACTACAACATGCATAGGCCCGTAAATCAGAGTGTGTTTGCGTATTTAGACATAAGGGGGAGCCAAAGTAGAATCTTCTGTGTGGATGGAGTTGTTTAAAGGGATACTCCACTTTTTTTGGAAATAGGCTCATTTTACAACTACCCCAGAGTTAAACAGTTGGGTTTTACGTTTTTGAATCCATAGTAGGAAAAAAATATACTATGAAAGTCAATGAGACCAGAAACCAGACCAATCTGGTTACCGATATTAGATATCCGAAAATAGGCTGAATGGATTGGAAAACGGTAAAACCCAACTGTTTAGCTCTGGGGGAATTGTAAAATTAGCCTATTTCCAAAAAAAAGTGGAGTATCGGTTTGGACATGTACAATTTGAATTATGAGGTTTCTTTGCCCCCATTGACCTTAATTCCTCTACAAGCTGGACTCTTTTACAAACAGTTTCACTTCGACTCACAAGCTCACATACACATCATAGTGTATCATGTGCATCGCATGTCCACACACAACTGTTTGAACGAGAATCAATGTAAGTATACTTTATATCTGCTTTATACATATCTGGAACTAAAGCTTCTGCTCACTTCACACTGTTGGTCTAATATGACTCCAGGAGTCTGACAGTGATGTCTGGTCTCTTTTTCTCTGATTAGCTCTCTTCTTGTAGATCTGATGTCATAAACCAGAGCAGCAACAGCAGCCACACCCACCAGAGCCGAGAGAGCCAATCGGATCACAGCTTCAGTGAAACTACAACAGTTGATGTGGGCTGAGAAAAAGAAAAGAAAAATGCTATAATGTTTCCATATAAACGTATATGATGGTTTTGTGTGTTGGGAAGACAATCAATCTGTGAGTTTTACTATGTGTGTGTGTTTCCTTGCTTAGCCAAATAACATTAGCTAGGATTGTTCAATATCGGCAATTCTACTCTATTAAGGGCTTCCCTGTCTTTAGTCTCAGTTCTCCTAGAAACTTGAGTGATTATGTGATTCTTTCTTCATGATCTAATTTCTCATAGAGTAGCCTATTGTTTTCTTGAGCTGTCCCAACACGGCTCTTGGACACGAGATTCACTTCTCTGTCGCTCCTCTGTGACCTGTTCTCAATTCCTGTAAACTCACATAAAGAAAAGCAAGCAAATGCCACACCCTCAAGAGCCCTAAATAGGGCCGGGTATCATAACAAAATGTTCGATACAGATACCTTGACTTCGATACCGGTTCCTGAACGATACTTTTTTCGATACCAATTTTATGTAACCAGTTTTAACAATATAATATTGGGGCGGGATTTATGCCTCGCGCTCAGCACACATGAAGCTTGTCGCGAAGCACTGGCAAAAGTAGCCAAATTATTATGGATGTGTCGGGAAAGAATAGCAAGAATATATTTTAAATTGTTTATTAATAAACAAGTGTTTAATAAGCGTGCTAGCTGCTAATATGATTATGGCGATGCTGACTCGTCATTCCTGCAGTGGTGAATGCTCTCGCCTATGGATTAGGTAACTATTTATTTCCAATTGTTTTGTTTAAAAGTAGACATATTTTGACTGTCTATAGGCCTATTTCTCATGTCTATAGGGACAAATATGCTCCGTTTCGGTTCATTTGTGATGCACTCCAGTTCTTGCAGTCGAAGACGGAAAAACTTTCTACTCAAGTGTTTATGCGCTTCTGTGCCTTATCATATTTACCGTGTTACCGGTCTTGGAGGCAATTATCAAGTCGAAAATATTGCATCACGTGCTTCTGGCATCGAATCTGGCACATAGGTACGCTTTGGATCATTTCCATATATTTTCTATCTATCTGGGTTGGGACGCTTACACGCACGCACACGCTACCAGCCCTAGCCATAAACCATAAATCCCTGGGAATGCATGAACTGATCGAATGTAAAACCATAATGCAATGTATGTCACTTTGGATAAAAGCTGGCAAATGCATAAATGCAATGTAAATGTTGCAGTTTGATTGTGTTATGCAGTTGATTATACGGTGCGCACCAGATGTTTTATGAATCAACACCAATGTACTGCATCATTGCAATGAATGTGTTCATTTAATCAGGTTAAACTAGTCTGACCAGCTCCGAGTGGGATTCAAACTGTGGTCTACGGCATGGGAGGCAAAAGACCGCAGCCTAGCATCAATCGCTAGTGTGCTTCTTGAGATCAGGGGAGTGAGGTTTACCTGCACAGCGACTACTAGCTCCATTAAGGCCAATTTATACTTCTGCGTCAAGGGTACGCACGTAGGCTACGCACTAGGTGACGATGTCGTGAGCATTTATACTTCTGCGTTCAGGTCTTGGTTGCTCTGCAGTACTGCTCCGAAACGCTAGTTGGCGGTGTTTAGATTCCTCGCGGCTAGGTTACTACAAGCAATGGCGACTGAAAGAGAGCGGATCATGTTGGAGTTGGAGCTTATTGAGGTGGAAAAACAGTTAATTTTAGTGAAATTGCTAAAACTGAATGGCAGAAATGAGAGAAGACGTCGGAGGAGATGGTACGTGCGGAAATGCATGGGAGGAAATGCGATGCTACCAAGCCGACCAATCACCAATCTTGCGGTCCGCGTCGTCACGACGTGTAGTTACATTTTTGAGGAGGTGCGCGTCAGGCTACGGCGAAGGGTTCGCGGTTTGGGACGCGTCTGTGTGTATGCTACGCTGTACCTATTGCGCGCACCCTACGCAGAAGTATAAATTGGCCTTTAAACAGGCCACTATGAACTAACAGTGGATTTCAGAGTGAAAAACTAATATCACTCTGATTTACCTAAACACACGTCTAACAGAGTTCTGCTCTGTAAATAAACACTAATATCGTCAGTGATGTACCTGAATTTGGCTGATAGAGTTCAGTGTTGTTGTCATCCTCAGTCTGGTTGACGTTTGAATCGTTCACCATAAAGCTGGACGTCACACAATTGGAGCTTGATGGTCTTTCTGATGATGAAAAATATTGTGGAGTCACTGATAATGACAGATAACTGTGATGTCAGGCTCATCTCACACTTCTGATCTTAATTAAAGCAGTCAATAGATCATAAAATGGGGATATATATATTACAATGACAAAGATATATTTCAAATGAAGAATGGTCAATAATTGTCAACTCACCATTGACAGTAACATTGAAACCCTTGTATTTGGTCTCTCCACTGACAAGTGTTAGTTGATAAAATCCAGAGTCTGAGGTTGTGATGTTTGTGATGGTCAGAGATCCGGTTTGATCCAGAGTCAGTCTGTCTCTGAATCTCTCATCATACTTAGAGCTAGTTTGTGTGAGCCTGTTAAATTCAGCGATTCTTGTGCTGCCGAACGTCCACTGTATCATCAAATATTGCTGTGTTTCAGTGACATCAGTGTTTAGAGTGACAGAATCTCCCTCATTCACTGACACTGACTTCACTGCATCGGTCACATCTGGAAAACAAACAAGAAATATATATTTGTCACAGACTAAAGGCTTGTTCAATGAATTACAAAAAGTTGCAAAAGAAAAAAAGAAGAAACAAACAGACTAACAGACAGATTTTGCTTGTGACATAAATGAAACCCAATCTATAATACATATTTATGTAGAAGAAATATCTTATTTATCCAGGTCTAGTCTGTTGATTATATAATAAGAGAATTTACAAGACTGCAACTCATATATGACAGTCAAAATGTTTTGGATGGTTCTGAAATGATTTGTTCCTCATTAATGGACACAATCAATTCTTCTTTTCTAGTGTCACGTGATTTTTTTTCAGCACTCGTTTTTGTGTAACAGAAGTGAAACATTAAAACACTCATCTGTGGATCTGGTGATTTAATGTTATTCAAGTTATATTTAATGATTGGATCATGGATTAATATAATTTGCATGAGAAAAATAAATACTATGTTAAGAAATGTTACAAAGCACCTTAAATTAAATGAATGTTGAAAACATGTCATATAACACTGATTTCAATTTCTTTCGAAGTTGTAAATTTTAATAAACTTTGTTTATGTCGCCTAGCCTACGCTGTAAAAAACAATAAGTAAAATTTACTTAATTTTTTCAAGGCAAGTTTTTGCACTGATATTTTTTGAGTAAATTTCACACATATAATTGAGTAAACTATACTTAACTAAGTTAAGTGAAAGTAACATAATAAATTAAGTAATTTTTATTTAGCTAATTACAGATTAAGTAATATCTTTTCTATTTAATTGAATTTTTCTTAATACAACATTTCGCTCAATACAATATAACATTGAATTAGACCACACTGTTTAGGAAATCATTACTTGCAGTGTGTCTCATCATGTCTTCACTTTTGATTTTCGCACGTGTGAATGCAGACCTCAATACTTGGTAGACAATACACAATGACGGTAACATTTGATAGATCGTTTTTGTGTTTGAATGTGTCATTTTAAGTAGAAAATGAACTCCAAATGTCACAAAATGGCAAATTGCTAATCCTAACAACAAAAGTAATGATAAAATGGTGTAAATACAGCTGGAAAACAGTGAAAAATCAACCTCATTAGTCATGGCCCAGTGCATGATGGGAACACCAGTATCAGAAAAGTTGAGTAATTTTACTTAATTTTATAATGTTGATATTTACGCTTTCATTTCTACACGATTTAATTGAGTTCTACTATAGAATTTACTTTTTTTTTTTCATGTAAATTAAATTGTTTTTTTTCTGTAGTATTTACTTGACCACAAAATCATTTTTATCAGTGTAGCTACTACATTTCTAGTAGCTTTCCTTCAACAAAATTGCTCACCCTCCTAAACTAATGAATAAAATTGCTTTTGTAAAGATATTAAAGTGATGAGAAACTGCAACCTCCTTTTTATTATTGGAACAACAACATAAAAACAATCCTGACTGATTTTTAAACAGATAGGCCTAATTATTTCTAAAATTACGACAAGTGAAGTCTTCAAAAACGCATCAATAACTTACCAACCAGACGACACAAGGGCAAACAGAACAAAACAAAAGCGTTAAACATTCCCAAGCCGTTTACCAAACAACTCACTCAATTATCTATCTGACAATATCTCGTTCACTTTTGTCTCTGCATGTTGCCAGTCAGTGCCTTGAGAGTTGGTTCGCCAGGAGGCGTTCCCATTACTGGTTGCCTAGTTAGTAACGTTGAGGATTGACATAAGTGGATGTCATGCTGTGCCGTTCAAAAAGTATAAGAATATCCACTGATCTATATAGAATGACGTTATATAGTTCAGCGAGACCCCCTGAAAGCCTCAAAAGCTAAAACTGAGGTCTGACCCCCTGACTAAAACAAAACGATGAGAGACGACACGTCAGGATAACTGTGACTGTAAAGACATGCAATATCGTTGACAAAAAAGACGAGATTGATGTGTTTAAAAAAAAAACTTCAACAAAACTACTTATTTTTGTCGAATAAAGGAGGAAACCACACATTAGGCTACACTGTTTTATGAGCGTCCATGCTTATTACGGTTGACAGATTTCACTGATTTAAACACCAGTCAGAGATTTTCTGTTATATAAAGTGTCGTTATGTTCTGTCACGAGCCACTTGCGATACCGGTTTGAGCTAAATCTTCGAGGAAAAAAAAAAAGAAAAATAAATGAAATGCAGGCTTATTAATTGTCACACCATGCACGCGATCAGGAAAATAAAATGTTGATTCCTTTTCTGTGGCTAATATAAATTTCATAATTAATTTCATAATTAATTAGACCTGTGTTGGAGCCATATTCAGAATGTTGTGCGCTACCAGAATTATAATCGAGTAAAGATTAAATTGGATTTATTTATAAATGTATTACAAAATATTATGCTTTACTGATTATTTATACAAAGCATTTATACATTTTTTTAGTGTCTCAGTGTTTTGTTTTGGAATAATAATTAAAAAAAATGGGGGGTGGGGGTGCTAAACTGCTAAATAACAGCACTTCAGCAAACCAACACTCAGATACAATCAACTGTGCCATTAACTTAAAATACCTGTACTTTGGTACTAAAGCAGTTAACATTTGTTAACATCTTTACCTTTGGTAAAATTCCTTATGAATCTTTACCTTTATCTAGGTATGACAAATAGATGTTACATTGACTGACTAACCATTAAATAACTGTTAAAGTTTTCTAATTTTAAAGTTTCACAGCATCATTAATGAAGAATCGAGAACAACACCAACTTGTCTGTTCTTCAGTCTCTTCAAGCTTCACTCTGAGGAGTTCTTCATCTGGATCACTCCTGTTCTCACTGTTACTCCCCTCGAGTTTTAATAAAGGCTCAAGTCATTCCTGGATTTTCACGGGCATATTTATTCCATGACGGACATGTCTTTACATGTTCACTTGTTGCATTTCCAAATTGCCGTCAGAACTGGTATATAAATAAAACACATAAAACGTAAATTAACCTTAAATTCTTGACATATTTGCAGACAATACTAAACAGAAATCACAAACTAAAAAATAAAGTATACATTTATGCAATGTAAAGTAAATTGGCTTTGTTACAAACACAGTCACGTTATACAAATACATGACAAAGAAAGAGAAAATATATACCTCATTGGCCACATGCACTCGAGAGGGTAAACTTAGAAGGGAATTCGTCTTCAATCCTCAACAATAAAACTTATAAATTATCTTTATAATCTTCCATGGCTTTTTAGAAAACCGCAGCACATTTCTCTCATCAAGAACTTAGCGAGTGTACCCATAAAGCGTCCCTATAGCAACAAATTATGATTTCCGCACGGAACAAAAAAAATAAGTTCCACCCTTTTTCTCACAGTTTTAACAAAAGAAATAATCATGAAATTATTATTTATTGACCATGAAACATTTCAATCATATGATTTTTAACCTCATATATTTATATTTTAATTGTGAACCATATTTAACAGAAATGCATAAGTTGCCTTTGATTGCAGCTACACTCCCACCAAATCACTTGTGATTTCAACCAATGAACTATGTGTGAGTGATTACTGTAAGTTAAAGTTATGTTAGTCAGCTTCAAGTAATGTGACTGTCTTGTGGATAGGTCTCTCCAGATAGACTGGTTTGCTGAGTCTTTTTCCTTGGTCATCTAATGATGAATTGCTGATGAGTAACTGGACCTTTCTCACACATCCATCTTCAGCTGGATACACAGTGGTGACTTTAGCCAGCTTCCATTCATTTCTGGGTGCTGTATCGTCTTGTACAATTACTATATCATTGACTTTCGCATTTCTCTTTGTCTTGTGCCATTTCTGTCTTTGCTGTAAACTCAAAAGGTACTCCTTTTTCCATCTGTGCCAAAATTCATTGGCAAGGTATTGGACTCTACGCCATCTCTTGCGGAGATAGAGGTCTTCTTTTACGAAGTTTCCAGGTGGAGGCAAGATTATTGAGGACTTCATTGTCAGAAGTAAGTTGGGCGCAAGAGGCTGAGGACCTGTTGGTTCACTGAGTAAGTGTGCGGTCAAAGGTCGGCTGTTTATGATTGCCATCACTTCATAAAGATAGGTCCGTAAGGATGAACTGTCGAGTGTTCGAGATGACTGATCCAGGATGGATGTTAACACACTTCTGATTGTCCGGATCTGCCTTTCCCAAACTCCGCCCATATGGCTAGCAGAGGGAGGATTCATGACAAACTCACATCCTAGTTTTTTAAGGCATTCTTGATCCATTTCCTTTACTGCTTCCAGGAATTCACGCCTCGCTCCAACAAAATTGGTACCCTGATCTGATTGGAGTTGGCGAACATTTCCACGTATGGCAATGAAGGCACGAAGTGAGTTGATGAACGCATCGGTTGATAGATCATCAAGTAACTCTATGTGCACTGCACGAGAGCACATGCACGTGAACAATAGTCCATAACGTTTCAGCTCTTTTCGACCTTCTTTGATGTAAAATGGACCGAAACAATCCATCCCGCAATACGTGAAGGGAGGAGTTGTCTCCATTCTCTCACGTGGCAGGTCTGCCATTCTCTGTACTTCAGTGTGACGTCTAAACTTTCTGCACTTCACGCAGTGATAGATGACTGATGACACAGCTTGACTACATCCGAGGATCCATATGCCATTTGATCTCAACTCGTTTATGGTCATGCCACGCCCCTGATGTTGCACTTGCCTGTGATAGTGATCAATCAGTAACCTTGATATGTGGTTGTTCTTTGGTAATATGACTGGATGTTTGATGTGTGGATGCATGGCAGCATGTTCTAATCTACCTCCCACTCTAAGGATGCCCCTGTGGCCTAAAAAGGGATTGAGACGGTATAACCTACTGGTTTTGTCTTTGGTCATCTCCTTTTGTGACTTAAGATCATTGATCTCTTTGGAGAAGACTTCCCTTTGTACAATGAGCATGATGGTAAGCTCCGCATCCTGTCTTTCCTCAAGACTTGTGGCTTCATTGGTTCTCTGTATTGTACCCTTAAACTCCTTGAGAAATCTTTGAAGTCTGGCGATTGCTTTCACTAGTCTTGTCCAACTTGAAAACTTAAGAAAGCGATTAGAGAGCAAATCTGTTGTTGTTGAGGTCTGGTGCACAATGACTCTGCGAACTTCTGGATCCTTGGCATCAAGTTCTCTCACCTCAACATCACCGCTTGGAAGCTCTTCCCGCCAGAGAAACTCTGGACCACAAAACCAATTGGAAGCAATGAACTCTTTTGCCTTAAGCCCTCGCGACGCATGATCAGCGGGATTGTCTTCTGATGTCACGTATTTCCACTGGGTTGGTTTTGTGCTTTCCTTGATGCGCTGTATGCGGTTAGCTACGAAGACGTGAAACCGTTTTGCGTCATTATTAATGTATCCCAAGACGACGTTTGAATCTGTCCAGAAGAATTCTTGGGCGTCTTCAAACTCCAATTCTCCTCTGAGCATGTCACTTGTGCGTACTGCTACAACTGCTGCGGACAGCTCAAGTCTTGGCACCGTGGTTACCTTTGTGGGGGAAACTCTGGCCTTGGCCATGACTAGAACGCAGTGTATCTGTCCCGTTATGCTGATTGCTCTTAGATAAGTACAGACTCCATACCCTGTGACACTTGCGTCTGAAAAATGATGGACTTCATACTTGTGAACGGTCTTGAAATCTACTGGTAAATAGCATCGCTCAATCTTGACATTGGCTAAGTTCTGTAGATCCAGTAGCCATGACTCCCACCGTGACCTCAGCTCATTTGACAGTGGCTCATCCCAGTCGATCTTCTCACGACACATTTGTTGAAGTATTTGTTTCCCAAGTAGGACAAAAGGTGCCACAAAGCCAAGTGGATCGAAGATTGAGGCTACTGTGGACAAAACTCCTCTTCGAGAGAGAGGGTGCTCATTCACAACTACTCGAAACTGGAAATGGTCTGAAGCGACACACCATTTGACGCCTAGAGCTCTTTCAATCTGTTGTTCGCCAAGAGCTAGGTCTTGTTTCATTACCGTCTCTGCACAGTCTTCCTTCGGGAGGGATGCTAATACTTGTTGGCTGTTTGAAATGAACTTATGAAGTCGCAACTTGCCTGTATTGCAGAGTTGTTTTGCTTCGTTTACCAACTGAATAGCCTCTTCTTCTGTGTGGACACTTATTAGGCCATCATCCACATAGAAGTTTCTCTCAATGAAACGAATTGTGGCTTCACTGAAAGAAGCTTGCCCTTGAGCTGCGATGTACTTGAGGCCGTAGTTTGCGCAGCCAGGTGAGGAAGCGGCTCCAAACAGATGGACACACATACGGTAGACGGAGGGGTTAGAGTATAAGTCTCCATTGTCCCACCACAGAAAGCGGAAGTAGTCTTGATCTTCTGGCTTGACGTGGAATTGGTGAAACATGCGTTCTATGTCGCACATCACCGCTACTTGACCCTTACGAAACCGGCATAGAACACCAACCAGGGTGTTGGTCAACTCAGGCCCAGTGAGTAGAAAGTCATTTAAAGACACACCTTCGTACCTCGCAGAGCAATCGAACACGACTCTAATTTTTCCAGGTTTCTGAGGGTTATAGACCCCATGATGAGGGATGTACCAGGAGGGGCTTTTGTCCAGTTCGTCAGGTGGAACCTTTTCCGCATCTCCACGTGTTATTGTTTCATTCATGAATGTTGTGTAGTCTTTGTGGTATTGCGTGTCTTTCTCAAATCTTTTCTTTAGACATTTGAGTCTGTGTTCGGCACAGATTTTGTTAGCTGGCAGATTTGGTCTGTCCTTCTTAAAGGGTAAGGGCAACTCACAGTGACCATTCGCTTTCATTTTCACTCCTTCTTCCATTATGGAAATGAAACGCAAATCCTCTTGGGAGAAGTGAGCGTCCTCCACGCGGCGTTCATTGAAATCAGACTCCAGTACTTTTATCACATCTAGAGGTGTGACTAGCTCTTTGACTTGTGTACGACAGACGTACATGACTTCATTTGGTAAGGAGTTTGATGACTGAACAGAAGGTGTCACTTCCTTCACTATGACTCTGTGGCTGCTTCCTATAGCGTCACCATAGTCCACACAGGGATCAGTACCGCCGACTATAGTCCAGCCAAGATCTGTTCTTTGAGCGAATGGTTCATTGTCCTTTCCTGACACCACTTCTCTGGGTAGCAGAGCTTGCGAACAGTTATACCCTATAAGCAGGCCGACATCGCACTCTATCATGGGAGGGATCTCTTCAGCAAGGTTCTCTAGGTGAGGCCATGCTCTTGCCGTCTTAGGTGTGGGAAGATGACTTAGATTGGCAGGGATAAAGTCTCTGGTGTATGTAGTTGGGAGAGGGATTCTCTTGGATGTGTAGAAGCCTCTGATTTGTAGCCCAAATAGCTTTTGACTTGTAATGACTGTGTCCCTGGATGACAGTGTGGAAAGTTTCAACTGCACTTGTTTCCTTTCTGTGATTAAAGCGTCTGCCTTTTCTTGAAGAACGAAAGTGGTGTCGCTCTGACTGTCCAGAAGGGCATAGACAAGAATCTCGTGTTCTGGATCGCTTGTTGTGGACAACCAAACTGGAACGATTGTGGATGTGAGATCACTGTTAGTGTTTTGGACAACACGGTTGGATATTGCCTTGTTTGATGTTTCTGAACTTGGTTGTTTGGTTTCCCTTGTGTCCTTTTGTTCCTTGTCAGGATCCTTTGTCCTTTTGACTTCCCTGTCACGTTCCTGATGTAAGCATGTTGGATGTTTCCCTTTGCATGTATTACAAACACTTCTCCTTTCACATTTTTTTGAATGGTGACCAGGGTTGAGACATCCAAAGCACAAGCCCTTTGTTTGTACAAACTTGACTCGATCAGCAATTGACTTGTCCATGAACTTTCGGCAGACATGAATTCCATGGTTTGGTCTTTCACAAAAGATACACATCTTAGTGTCTGATTTCTCTTCAGAACTGCTTGCTAACACTTTTGCACCCACACTTCGGATCTTTGAGGTCTTTGTTTTTTCAAAGTCACTTGCCTTTAGTGCATGAAGCGATGTTATTGGATTGCACGCTATCTTCGCCTCTCTTGTAACAAAGTCGACAAAGTTGCTGAATGTCGGAAATGACCCACTTTGTTCTTGTATGTCAATGACTTTTCTATTCCAGCTCGCCGTTAACCAATCAGGAAGCTTGCTGAGTATTTTCTGATTTTCGCTGCAGTCATTGAGAACTTCAAGATTCTTAATCTGGAACATTGCTGCTTCACAGCCTCTGAGAAAGTCTGAGAACTCTTGTAGTTCAGCACTGTCCTTTGGTCCTATCCTTGGCCATGATGTGAGCTTATCCCTGAAGGCTTTGGCGATTACAAATGAGCTTCCATACCTTTCCTCCAGAATGTTCCATGCTGCAAGATATGCTGTGTCCGTTCCTAACAGGAAATAACTCTCAATTGCTTTTCTTGCTGGCCCACCAACATATTTCCGGAGGTAGTAGAGCTTTTCATTTACTGGGATGTTCTTCCTGTCTATCAGGGTTTGAAAGGACATTTTCCAATCCTTATACTTGAGTGGGTCTCCAATGAAGACTGAAGGTTCTGGCACTGGTAAACGGCTTATGTTAATTGACTCTGCTAACGCCCTGGCTAATGCAGTAGTGCTGTCTTCTTGTGTAGCATTGGTTGCACGTTGCCAGCTTGTGGCCTCTTGTGGCACAGTGCGTTGTTGCGGGTGAAATTCTGGCAAACTAACCAGGTAAGGTGTGGCTTCTTTCGGCCTGGACTTACTGTGTAGAAGCTCTGATATTTCTTCATCTGAAGTTGATTCTTGCTCGTAGACTTTCAGACGTGCTTCGGCGGCTTTCATTTTCTTGACAGTTTCTAAGCGTTCTATCTGCCTTCGCTTTTCTTCTAATGTCTTCTGTTTTTCAGCATTTTCTGCTTCTTGTTGTGCAAGTCTTTTTCTGTTTTCAGCTTCAAGATTTTCAAGTTCCCTTTGCTCATGCTCCATTTCTTGCATCACTTTCAAGGTAGCTTCAATTGCAGCCAGTTCTGCTGCTGCTTCTTGTTTCTTTGCAGATGAATTACTCGAATGGCTTGAACGCGTGGTTGCACTACCTGTATGTTTGGACCTGTAAGATGCTGAAGATTGGAACACTGAGCCAGCCTCACTCCAGTGAGTTGACCTTTTAGCTGGGTATTTACCACACTCCTCTTCTTTAAGGATCTCTGATGCATGTTCTATTATCTTTGCAGAAACAGCATGACATGTGTCTATTCGACGACGAGTGTCACTGTCAGGAGTGTTGTGACTGCGCAACTCGTGATAGGTTTGCTTTACTTCTCCAGCAGCATTTTGGACGCTTACAATGTGATCCCGTAAGCTTGCAGTGTTAGGTGCATCGAGTGCTCTCTTAGCTTGTTTGACAATAGCTTTCCATTTGTCATAATTAGTCTTAAAACGACACTGAAGCTTATTCACTCTTTCTTCGTGTAGAGCCTGGCCCTTTTCAGTAAGCTTTCTGTTTCTTTGGCTTTTTCTCAAAGCATCTTCAGCTACTTGACTTGAATTTGCCTCTTGTGGTGGGTTTGAGTCTACAGTTTCTTCACGGGCTTGCTTGATCCTGCAACTTCACAGCTTCACTTCCTTGGACTTCAGGCTCAGCCATTTCACTACTTGAGCTAATGTATGTGTGTTGACTTAAATTCAGATTACTTGTGTTTGTAAAATTACCTAGATTAGTTTAAGGCACTATGGATATAATACTCTTAAACTGTAAATATGAACTCTGTTAGAATTAACTAAAAAAATGTGTAAACACCTTAATGCAAATAATAAACTGTTTTCACCTTGTATGAAAATAAAGAAAATTGACCTTCAATGTCAAAGAAAAACAATATGACTTAACTATGCCTTAGTGCACCTTTAACTTTGCAATATAGTGTTAGAATGTGCAATTTGTATAAATCACCTTACAAAGAAATAAACACAATTAAACTTAATCTTAATTTCAGACACATACACTTCAGCCCCTTTTAGCACTTTAGAGTCCTTTAAAGTTAGCAGAATCAAACTACTTCTTAACATTTAACTTGTTTAAATGTGTTACTTATT